GAATGAAAATGAAAATGAGAAAAATCGGTGCCAAACGGGGGCTATATCTTACAATCCGGTCAAGTGCAATTGTGTAAGCCTCAATACAACCCAATAAAATATTTTACAAAAGTATGCTCTAACTGAACCCTAAACCATTTTGAAATCCACAATATCACCATTTAACAGATTAAAAGTTCAAATTGCGAACAAATATAAAATATAATCAATTAAAGTAGCAGATAATTAACTGTCAAAATAGTAGTCACAAAACTTAATTGAATATCAAGTGCTAGAACATGAAAAATGCTATGTAGTCTTCCATAAAATTCTTAATATAGTAAATTCCCCTATTATCCTCTTCATCATTGTTAATTTGTTACCTCTCTTTTTCCTCCTTCACTTGAAATAGTGCATTCCTCTTTCCCTCTCTTCAAATTGTATAGAAAGAACATTAAAATACCCAGACAACAAGAAGAAAAATAAAACAAATAAAAAACTGAAGTTACATTCATAGTCTCTTCTCAATAGCCATATGCCATTGATTAATTGCAACTTCATGTATGAGGGGTTTATTAATTGCTCTATCCTCTTTTCTCGTTTTCCCCTCCTAGTTTTTAGTGTTAACCCGTGTTTAAAATAGCCCAATAGGCTTTGCGATTTTCTAGAGTATAAAACAGTCACCCCTAAAAGCTATGGTCAGTAATAGAAAGTTAGGACAAGACAAACAAACGCATACCTCAGACACCCTGAGGCCTATGCTTGAGGCGTGCATTTTAGTTATAGTGTGATCTTTAACAATGGCACCCAAGGCATAAGCTTCAAGGCACTCAACGAATGCCTTATGGTGGGACCCCTTGAGGTGGAAGGTTGGGTGCTTTTTAAACAATGAACCTGGTAAACTCCTCCCTCTCCCCAAAATTTATCTACTTCTTTGACTTGCATGGTCAAATCATTTTCTTTCCAGTGCATGATTCATAATTAATTTGTTTAGATTTAGATAAATAATATAAGTGATCATGAAATCCTTTAATAGACTGATGTAAAATGTGGATTTGAAAGACCGTCAGTTTGACAATAGAAGGCCAAAAATCTCCTATATTTTGGAAGGTAGAATAAAGTATATGATATGGATTGTGGTGTGGATTTTGGAATGCCAAGTAAGTTTAGTGATGTACAGTGATTTATTGATGATCCGATAAAGTAACATAAGTATCGCTTCAGAAGAATGTCGAGTGAATTGCCTATTTAGTCACTGAACTTTCAGCCATGCACGCAAGGGGTCACTGAACTTTCAAAATAACGTAACTAGTCACTAAACTTTACAATTCATCATCCCAGAAGTCACTGAGCAAACGGCCGTTGATAAATTGGACGAAATTTCCACGTGGCAAGACAACTTAATGAATTTTGAAAGTTCAGTGACCCCTTGCGTGCATGGCTGAAAGTTCAATGACTAAATAGGCAATTCACTCCCGCTTGGCCCCCATAGTTCCCCATTAAATTATAATTCATTTTTTTTTATATCAAACACACATTCTCCAATAAAATAAGATTACACGAAAATAAAAAAATCCTTCTTTTTTATTATACATTTTCCAAAAAAATAATATTCCTCTCATTATAATGTGGAATAATGGGGTCAAACGGGCGCTTAATGATCAATTTAAAACTTATGTTTTTTAAATGTGCTCTAACAAAGAGTTTGAAATGTTGAATGGCCTCAGTGCTTTTGTAGAGAATTTAGATATGACAGGAAAAAATAAAGTATATATATTGGTTTACAATCTTTTGACTTTAGCGTTAATTTTATCGGTTGCTATCGCTATTATGGATAGAGTATTTTCTGCAATGAGCATTGTAAAGAATATATTGATTAATCGGATGTGTGATCAGTGGATGAATGATATCATAATTATTTATGTAGAGAAAAATATATTTTTGAAGATTGATAATGATGTTATTGTACAACGATATCAAAGTA